ATAAAACTAAAGGAATATTGTTATTATTATTAAATTTATTATTATACACATCAGGACAAATAAAAGAAAACATTTGTGTAAACAAGAAAAATACTGTATAAAGTTTATACCAAATTTCATAAAAACTAGTACAACTGAATTATTCAGGCATATCTTTTTTCTAAATCTTATTATTATGCAGTCTTCTATTTCTTTAAAGGCAATTCTGATGGATTTGAGAGAAAGATCATAGAAAGAAGTTAGATTATTTAAGAAAACAACAGGCTAGCATGAGCTAATGTGTTTTACCTTTCATATCAGTATTGATCACATATTTACATGCAATTTGATTTCTGTTGTGGCAATACACCGCCCCCCCCCAAATTTTTGTTATGTTTGGTCATATTTTCAAAGAGCTACCGCAGAGAGGCCAAAAAGCCACACGTGGCCCCAGAGCCGCAGGTTGCAGACCCCTGGCCTAGCACATGCAGTACTGCTTGTAAGAGGGGGTATTTTTTGTCTAACTCGGAGGAAATGGCATAAAAATATAAGTTTTACACTTGTGAATGTTTTAGTGGACTTCAAATTAGCACAGCCTAATTAAGCAGAAGCTACTCAGTCTGCTGATGGTTTCCAAAGTTAGCAAAATAGCTAACCCAGCTTGTTCTCCTATTAGCAGATTAGAAGATTAACAGAACTGTGCCCACAACTGCCAACCACATACACCATGTCCTTTGTACCAAAGAGGAGAATGGCTCATTGGTCTGTTATTAGTGCACTGTTCAAAAGCCTTCCTCTCTGTTGGTATGGGGGTGTATTAGCACCCATAGCAGCTGACACTTCTGGAAAGGCACCATCAATGCAGAAAAGTACATACAGTTTTATGAACAGCACATATTCCAGCAAAACGTTCCTAAAACCAAATAAAGTCATTTAAACAAACTCTGTGGATTCATCTACCTCTGACATCAAGTTTCTGGCTGATCGAGGCCTTGCTCTTGTCCTTCACAGTGACTCGACATGCGTAACTTCCTGAGTCGGCTGCCCTGGCTGGGTTCAGCTCATACATGATGGAGTCGTCTGGGGTGTCGGTGGTGTAGATGGGAATATCGTCCCGCATGAGCTTGAAATGATGCTCGAAGTGAGACATGTTGTAGAAACTGACGCTGACATGGCAGTGGACGGTCACTGGTGTTCCACTCTCAACGGTGCTCTGCGGCTGGATCAGGAGGTTCACAGTGTTTATGATGAAGGCTGATTYAGACACAGAAACATCAAACAGATTAAGACTTTCTTTGACAAAACCTCAAACTCTAAGAACTAAGAAGCTGTATTTGTTTTCATGGCGACCTAGCAGCCTCAAAGAGAGTCTCCTTTATAATTCCAAAACTTTCTGATCAACTTAGCAAAGCCCCTAACCTCACTTCATCCACCTCTCAGTCCTGGCTGGGTTTTTGTCTGCAAAGCAAACAGGMGCTAATGAGAGGAAGGAAAATGGTGCAACAAACAGTGGGCCTCATGCAAGAACCATTCAACAKATTTGTTCTTAAGCTGTGCATATGAGCCATTAAGGAGAACTTATAGCATTCACCAATTTTCTCGTAATATAAGTTTTTTTTCAAATATGAACAAAATTCACATGTGGTCCAGACCTGTTGTGTATTTTACATGCAGTCTGTCTGCTGTTTTCCAGGCTGATTTTCTTCACTGATAACTTTATATTTCATTAGTTTGAAGATATTTTGAGTTGAAAATAAATCACACTCCATAATTATGTAAAAAATATAGGCTATTATTTTTGAATTAGAATTATAATTTTAAATGTAATAATGCAGCCTAATGAAATAATTTAAATTGCTATCAACACTACAATATTAACATGAAGATGTGAAACTACAAACCAACTAAAATTCTRTATAAACTGAAGTTTAATTTGTCTCGGTATACAACAAGGACAAAAGGAAGTGAACATAATCAACAGCTTTATTCAGACATACAGTAGATTAGGTTTTTTTAATCAGAATTTATTTTGTTCAGATTTATTCAGGACATCAGCTATGCATGCAAGACTGTCTGCAATTTTATTCAAAGTGCTAGACATATGTTGGAGACATTTTAAAATGTTTTTTTTCTGCATCTGACACCACTTGCATGTGTGGGAGATGACAGGGGACTGGCACATGAGATGGTCTGGGCTGTGGTGCTGTGTTTAATTACTCTTCTTTTAAATAAATAAAATTGTTTAACAGTTGTTTCCCCATTTCTTCCACAGAACTTAAATTAAAATTATCTGATCAAAGGAAAACAAGAGTAGGACTGGAGGGAGATGAATATGATTTAGATTTTTGTTTCTGTGACTGTATGACGGGAGACACGACATTAACAGCAGTCGTCATTCGTCCCAGCCACATCCTTTAATTCCACAGCTGACGCTGCTAAAAATTAGAGATTTTTTTTAAATCTCTGACAGCAGGACTTCAATCTCTGAACTTGTGAAGTTCTTCTTTTTACTTCTCGCTGCCATTTTTATGAATGAACACTTCCTGGTATAGGCCAGGAAACGTAGCCGTATATGGTAATATTGGGGTGGTAATTATGCTAATTTCCTCTACAGGTGGCATTCATCATGTTTACGCTGCTCATTTACGCATTATTTCTGAAGTTAGAAGCGTTTGCTGAATCTGACGTGGCATTTTCGTACGAACCCTTTGTACAATTAAATGTAAGAGAAATTTAGGATAAGAATACGAAAATGTTTTTGCATGAAGCCCAATGTTTGATCTTTCCCTTCCTTTGTGGAAGTTGTGCAGATTCATTTTACCTCTCATTTTTTTTCAGTAACACCACAGATCAGAGAGCATAGACAATGATGTAATTGATGACAAATGCTTTGTAGATAGTAAAAACGAGCTAAATTTTATCTTAGAATTATTAGCTTTTAACAACATACTGTAGTGAAGTTAACAAACGACCAATGATTTGGCTAATTGTTTTATTTTGTTTTGACATAAATAATATTAGAGATGTTGCATTTTTGAGTGCTGAATAATTTTACTGAATTTGTCAAAGAATAAATTTTAAACTTACTTGGTAAAATCAAAACAATCAGACGAGGAGCTAAAATGACCAAAGCAGCAGCGAAAAGCTAAAATTAGCAAAGCAGTTTCTACTAGCTAAAACAGCTAAAAAATGTATTTGATTAAAAAAAAGTTTAAATGTTACTGCAAAAACATGCTTGAAGTTTGTAACAGCTCAGAGTAACATTTCTTTTAAGATACTGTGTAACAGATTTTAAGTTAAAAAAAGAAACATACATTTTTATTGTGTCATCCAAAGAAACGTGTGTGTGTGTGTGTGTGTGTGTGTGTGTGTGTGTGTGTGTGTGTGTGTGTGTGTGTGTGTGTGTGTGTGTG